CCAACAATCTCCATGCGCATCTATTTCATTTGTATTTCACTTCTTCCCAACAATCTCCATGTGCACCACGTTTAAGAATTAATTTTGGTGTAATGTTCAAATCACAAACATATGACTTTAATCGCTATTTGCTAAAGCCAGATGGTCACACGGTCAATGGGCCAAACGTGGCCTCCCCTCCCAGGCCCTGGCCAGTCCTGGCCGGTTATTTTTTGCTTTTTGGTAACGTGGTTTTTTAGATTAATTTTTTAATCTACTAAATTTTTCCCAAAAGAAATTAATATAAAAAGCCCAACATGAGGACACTGACTCAACATAGGGAAATTTTGTGATACAATTGCAAATACAATTTAGGCCAAATTACAAAGAAATGTTTATTTCCAACCCTAAAATTTATGTAAGAAAAGTTTTTGGGCATTTCTCTCACACATTTACCATCCATTTAGTTAATTAAAAAAATTACCTCCAGCATAGAGGGATGATTTCCTTCTCTCTCTTTCACTTGAATGTTATTTTTACAGAGAATGCCAACATTTATATGTACTTTATACAGATGTATCAGTTTTCTATTCCCCAACTGTCCATATTTTGTTGAAATATTTATTGATTGAATCAGTATCAATTGGGAGACAATTTTTATCTTCATGCAATTATAGTGAGTATTTTGTCCATGAAATACCAATTGAAAATTATATAATGTAAGTCTAAAGGAAAATGAGACTTGACTTAAGGACACTCTTTATGCACCAATTATGTCTGCATCTTGGTCTCACTGTATGTTGCAAAATTATATTCTATATGCATGGATCCCAAGGGTATGTTGCAGCAGAGTCAATGAAGAGTCACTGGGATTCAACTGCTGCTGGGTTGTCATCAGCATCCAAGAAGCCAGTGGCAATGGGTCTAGCCCTGTCCCCATGGGGATGAAGAAGCTGGGTTCCTATAGTTCAGCTCAGGGTCAGGTTTATTGGTTCAATAACCTTCTTTGCGATTGACTATGGGTGCATTTTGACAGTAAAGTGAGTGAGATGATGTACCCTATAGTACTTCTTTTTTTTATTTCTTAATCCCAATACTCATTTTTTATGGAATACAGGGGGGTCTTGGCTTATTATATTACAAACTTAATTGGTTCTTGAGCAAAGTTTTTGTTAGCAGAATAGTTTGTTGGCCAAATCATCATGTTTTCACTAAAGAAAGTATACAGGAGTAATTTCAATTGGTTCCAGTGCACATGAAAATCAAGAAAATTTATTGTAAGAATTCCCAACAGGCTGTTACAAGTTTGTTACATATCTATACTGAAGTTTGTAAGCTGGGTCAGGGTTTGTTAGCTGGATCACCATCAGAGGGCCAAAGCATGTCAATTGGAAAGTTTGATAGCCAGGGCATCTGTAAAACAAGTAACACTTTACTACATATACAGAACACAGTTCCCCAACCTGATGCAGAAGTTTTTTTTTGCCAGTCTGTGTGGAACATTTGTTAAATGTATATAAAAAGTTGCAATGAAGTCTGTAATCTGAAAGTGAACTTTTGGAAAGGAAATGGCCATTGAAATTATCTCACAAAAAAAAAGAAAAGTTGGCCTTCCTCCTGATGATTCTTCAGACAAATGTTCACCTACTGAAATAAATTATTTAAGTTTCTCATTTGGAGAAACCTTTCTTTGAGCCCAGCTTTCTAAATAAAAAAATTTCATTAAAGCTGTTGAATTGGTTCTCAACTCTTTTTTTTTCAGAAAAATTTTAAATACCTGCTGTGAAGTCTTTCAGGCAGAGCTATTTTTGTCAGCAAAAGATTTATGAAACTTTCCCATAGTCTGCAGAATTTTTTTGAAATTTTCTGGTCTAAAAAATTGTCTGCCAATTTGCATCCAGTTCCCAAAGGCCCAAAAAATGTGGAGAACACTAATGAAGTACAGTACAATTGTCACAAATTTCCCTTCTTCATTCAGGCATGTACTGGCATTCTATGAAAAGTTGCAGCAGAGCTATATTGGACTGCCAACAATGGTAAAACACTAGATTCTGGTGCAGCTGTTGCTGCATTACAAGGGACAGCTTATGTCGCAAGTGTATAAAAGCTTTCCAATTTAGAAATGTTGCTCCAACTCCTGGTCACACAGCAGAAGATCCTTCAAATGGGAACACATATTTCAAAAATAGTCTGGCCATCATCACACTTGATGCATCATTTACTTTGGGACCTTCCATCATGCATCAGGACTATCAGAGTGGCCACTGATGTGGGACCCAGTCTGGTGAACCAGGCTATTCAAGGGTTCTTTACTGCAGTCTATTCTGGTGAGCTGGGATGGTCATCTATTCATTTTCTTTGTGTCATAATCAAGAGCACTTCAGGCAAATTGTATATCAGTAACAGACTTGTGCTGGGGACTCCAGAAAAGGTTTGCTACAAGTGATTTTATAAAAACTGATGGTTTAAATTGAACCCGCATATATTCAATATCTTTCTTCTCTGTTGGCAACATTTTCAAATGTGTTTGCTCTGCTTTGAAACATTCACTCTCTGAATAACATGTAAACACTTGCCCTTGTTGCTGTGAGCTTCAAAGTTTTTCCAAACAATCCCTGCACAAATTTGAGAAAGCAGATATGATACAAAAGTGATTATGTAATTTCTTGAGCATTAGTATTCCTTCCCAAGCATCAGAACTAGTCCTTTTAACATGAATTTTGCTGCATTGATTTTCTTCATTGAACCTCACCTGTGTTGTGACCAGTCATTGCTGCTGATCTGAGGCTGTGTCAAATGGTGTTTCTCTCTGTTGACCAATACAATTCACTGCATTCTTTGCTGTGACTGAGGTTTCTGCTGTTCAGCGGGGGGTCAGTAATTGTTTCCCCTTCCTGGTGACCAGGTTGAAATACCTGAGCTTGGAATGAAATCCATCAGATCTCACCCAAGCTTCATAGAGTAAACTCCATAGCATTAATATTGGAAAAGCTCAATTCCCATTAAGACTTAAAGTTAAATCTGGACTTGTGTGTTTATGTACTTGCCTTGTATTGAATGTTTGATTGGATGAGAGTATTGTGAATAAAAGTGTGTTAACCAGAAATAAGGACTGCGTTCCTTTAATTCTTGACTCACAGTCCTGTAATAGAAAGGACAACATTATGCTCCTCAAAAGAGTTTTTTAAATCTGGAATTATTGGAACATTTGTTGTGATACAAGATTGCTTTAACATGTACTCTGTAGGCTATATCTACTGCCTGGATGACTTGAGAAAAAGTTTTTTATACTGTAAAATTTGTTGTAACATTATTGTTGCATTGTACTTTGAAAAAAAAAAACAGAAACTAGGAGGGGTCAGGTTATTGCGAAGGCTGATGCTGAAGTCATTGGAACACCATGTACAGCTTCAATAAGTGGAAACATTAGTGGCACACTAGACCCAGTTGTTGCATCCTGCATCTTGGTGACTCCAACAAATGGCAGTGCTGGTTGTATGAATGTAAGTACAATAAAATTGTATACTCTACATTGATGATAAATTCAAACTTTTTGCAATCTTTGAAAAATGCTCATGCCTGCATGGTTGGTACCTCCACCTTGCGTGCAATATAATTTCGTTATTTAGATTGAACATATCCAAATCTTTATATATATATACAGTTGAACCTCTCCAAGTCAAAGTTTTAGGAAAAGTAAAAATTTGACTAAAGGAAACTTTAATTTTTGCTGCAAGAATGAGTGAAAAATATTGCAGGAAATTTTAAATGAGGATATTCTGGGCCTAACCTTGCTTCTTGATGAGTTTACATGAACTTGGATGCAGGGGTTCATTTGCTTAATTAGTCTTCCCCTTACTCTCAAGATGCATAAAATCATGTGTTTGATTGATTTTCTCTTCCATATTTCAAGGAAATAGTAACCAAAGGGCCTCCAAAAATATCTCTTACAGAGGTTTGGCAGAAAAATACTTTGAGTTAGAGGAATTTTGAATGCATCGTCTCTAAGGGATTTCTTTTGTTCCTCTTCAGGTTGAGATTGGGTCTGCCATTGTTGTGCAAGGCAATGATGGCAATGATTATCTCACTGCTCTCACAAGGCTTGGACAATGTTCATCAAGTCCAACTTCATTGATGATTGGTGTTTCACTCACATTCAGTGACCACTTGTCACACATTTGCAACACAACAAATAATGTAACATGTGCAGCAGTTCCAACAACTACCAGCAGCACCAGCACTAGTACCATTACTGCTGCCACCAACAGTTCCATGATGTCTACCACGCTACAGGAACCAAATCATCTGCAAATACTGAGAAACAAACAACCACCACCACTACCTCTACTGAATTCTTGGGAGGACACCAGGATACACTAAAGACACAATTTTCAGCTTTCTGGTTGCCCATTCTCAGGATTTTTCTTTTTGGCTGAGCAGGCAATTGATTTTCCAAATCAAGATTTTTGCCTTCACATGAATCAATGCCAGCATCAATTTACAACTGTTCTGATGTGTGTGGATATAGAACAGCTTGTTTAAGTTTGCAGTGATAAGAAAAGGATTTAGTCCTTTTCTTATCACCTATACATTCATCTGAACAATGGCTGAAGAAATAAAGAAGTTGATATTTCTTCATTGAACCAATCTTGTTTTTCATTTGAATTATTGAGCAAAATGTTCTTTTGACATCTTTTCAATTTGCAATAAAATGTTATCTTCCATGTATAGGATTCATCCCCACATACACAAAAGATATGCAAATATGTAGAATGTTAATTTTAATACAGGAGGAGTCTGTCTACAACCATGTTTTTCTGTATGACAAATCTTTTGTGATGAAATTGTTCTATTACTGTATATTACAGACAATCTGGCCAACATTGGAGTTAACATTTTGTGACAATAAATCAAGGGACTAAGTAAATTAAACAGAGTTCAGAACTAAGCTAAAATGTGTTGTTAGCATGAGATGAATTACAAAATAAAACTAACATGAAATAAATTCTAATACTGTACAGTACTTGGTAACCAATGTGCTTTAATGCAAGAAAGGCTGATTCTGTGACATAAGCATGGTTGAAAAATGATGGTAAACATTGGAAAGAACATTTCTCCACCAAAGATGGTGAACAAATTATATGGTAAATTGAATTGCTCCCAACACAAGTGGTTGCATCACTTCTTTGCAGCCAAAATGGCCTCCAGTTGGTTCTGAAAAAGGAAAGCCACAGACAACATGTTGCACTGCAATGTTCCAAAAGTGCTGTGGAAATGCTGGTCTAACCTTGATTTGTTGAACTTTGTGCTGATAAAACTCAATTTTCTCCTTGTGACTGTCTGCCTCCACTGCTCTTTGCTCTTCATGGAGTCTCTGTGCATTCTCCAACTGTCCTCTGAGTCTATCACATTCCTCCAGCAACTTCAGCTTCTCTTCTTCAAGAGACTCAACCCGTCTTTCCAGCTCTTCTCTCCCTTCTCTGGCCTTGAAGGAAAAAATCACTTCATTGTTTTTTTTCTGGTGCTTCAAAATAGAAAAAGTTTTTGTATCAGGAAAGAACAACTTGGGGCACCTGGAGTGTCTTCCTGATGCCAAAAGCACAACTGCTTTCAAATAGGGTCTGATAAGCAGCAAGAGTCATTTTCAGCTCATCCCTGACCCTCAGTAGAAGTAGGCCTCTTTCAGCACAGTTCACAGTTGCTTGTCTGATGAGCTCATCTGGAATTTTGCATCAACACAGAATACAGAAACAATAATTCAAAGCATGATGAGACATTTTCATTCAAAACATGCACAGTAAATGACCAAAAGGATTTCCTGAAAAAAGTTTTTGCAAAAAATTTTCTTGCACTCTCTGGCTGGATATTTTAGGAAAATAACAAAGATAAATTTGCCACACTGAGACTCAAAAATTTAACATATTTGTACTGCAGAAAATTTTAAAAATGATCAACTGTAATGAGATTTTTATAAAAATAAAATTCTAATCCATCCCTATTGAGGCATTTTGTATTTCAAAATAGTGAAGTGCAACACAGTTTCTCTAAAATTAAAATTTGAAAATATGAGAAATGTCTCAAGCACTCACAAAAAGGCCATGAAAATCCCTGTGACTGCTTATTCAACAAGATTTCAGCAAAAAATCATGAACTTAAAATTAATATAATCCTGACCCCTTTTTGCACTTGAATTTGTAAAATTTCTAAAGAAGAGAAAAAACTATGCCATTCTTTTCTCAACTTTTCAAGAAGTTTCAAAGTTTTACCTCCAAACTAGATAAAATGCAGGCTTTTTTCAGGAAAGAACTCTTTTTGTGAGGCACTTCCTTCAAAAGAATTCAATCCAATGCAAAATTTTTTTTGTGTTAGTATTTTGTGAAGCAGGAACTCATTTCAAAACTTTTTTTTTAGCAGCACCAAAGAGACTGAGACTGTCACCAAAAGCTTGAGTATACAGCTCCCTCCTGATGGGGCAAATGCCAGTTTCCTTTGCCTGTCTGTGCTCCAGTCTCATGTCCAGCAGTCTTTGCAGGTTCAGCACATCCAGCCTTGTTGCAGGTTTGCTTGACACCTATGTACCCCATCAAGACATGACAAAGAACATCCATACCATCATTCAAAATTGTTGAAAATTTTCCTCAAGTGGTTCTTTTTATAAAGATGGACATGTTCATAATTTTCTTAATACAGAGAAACAAATAACTTGATGCTTTTCAAGCCAAAAACATTTCCATGCAACACTTTTTTGAATCCCCTCAAGAACTGTGATACCAAGACCTCCCTGACTAAAAGGTTTCCTTCTCAGACCTCATTTTTTGGATGTAGTTCTGCTATTATTTTGGAGAAAAAAAAATGAATGGAAGAGCCATGAAAATCTAACCAGTTTCTTTTTTAAAATCAAGTGATGAACTGTAATTGAGCAATTGTACCTTTGCTTTCAATTTCAACACCCTGTAATCTCATTTACTCAGCAGTTTGAGTCAAAAGATGAACAATGTTAACTTCCTGCAATAATTTCAGCATTTTTCTACAAGACAAAAACATCTTGCACTTTTTTTTTGTAGAGCCCAAGTTCTCCTTCAGAATTCTTGAATTTGACATGGCATCAATTCCAAGGGTTGCTGCCATTACAGTATTGATTGTCAATTCCACCGTGTTCATTAACAACCACCTTCATGATAAAAATGGCGGATTTACCTCAAAATACCTGGAGGCAACCCTTTGAATTTAATACCATGCCAATTTCGAAAATTCTGAAGGAAAAGCTGGACTACACAAAAAAAAAATCTGCAAGATGGGCGCCTCATCTTTTGAGTGAAGAGCAGAAAACTGCCACAGGTTCACTTCTGCAAAAAAAATTTAAAATATGCCAAAAAAGGCTAAATTTATCTTCTTTGCGCCAAAGAATTTTTTTTTCTTCTGAAGAATAATTGGTTTTCAGTTCTATCACATGCTGCTTCAATTTACATCCCACGCATTGGGGACAGATGTTGCCTCAATATAAGTTAGTGTCAAGCTGGATCAGAAGAGTACTGTACACTGAGAACTTTCCTCAGACCCCTTTTATATACAGTCAAACCCCGTTAAACTGCCCCCCGATAAACCGCCACCCTCACCTCCCGCCAAAATTTTACCCTGAACAAATCTCCCCAATGTTAAAAGGATGGGGAAACCTCGATAAACCGCCATCCGCCAACAATTTTTGGGCCACAAACAGGCACCTGCTCTTGATTTTTTACCCCTTTAAACCGCCAGTGTTTTAATTTTCTGACCAAGGCTTTTCTCCTACTTTTTCTTCAACTTCTTTCAATCTTTACTTTTTCTTGAAACAAGCAAAACTTTTATTTCTGCCAAACATACTCTCCAGAGTTTAGTTTTTTCTCCATAAATCCTTTAATATTATGGTCTGCAAGCTGCCTTTAGCAACTCTTTTGACTCTCCAAATGCAGTTTTTTTTAATCCCATGTATTCAGATTGGCTGCAAATCATGATTATTTTCATTCCTCCAGCAAGAGATTCCTTCAGAATTTAGAATAATCCTGAAAGTTAGGCAGGGAATGTATTATTGAATGCTTTCAGACATTTGTGGCTTGTTTGACAAATTTGTGGATTATTTGTAATATTTTAAAAATTCCTAAACCCTGCTGATGCTTAAATTTATCACCATATGAAGTTGTTCACATGTTGCAAACATATAGGAATTTACATGGTTGTGCTGGGGTAATTTTTTAAAATATTTTTAGTTATAGAAATAAATAACCCATTCTATTGGACAAATATTGAATGAATAATTTATATTTTAGATCTTCATCAGCATACCAATTGGCAAGCCATTTTGAACCATCATTCTTGTTTGATGAGCATCTGGCAGAGGGACTGCTGGAAGTTTAGTTATAGAAATAAATAAGCCATTCTATTGGACAAATATTGAATGAATAATTTATATTTTAGATCTTCATCAGCATACCAATTGGCAAGCCATTTTGAACCATCATTATTGTTTGATGAGCATCTGTCAGAGGGACTGCTGGAAGTTACGAACACTTTAATTGGGATCTTCAGGAGAGTAAAGGATAGGAAGCAAAAAATTTGAAGCAGCCCATCTCTTTGTATTTTTTCATTTTACAAATAATTTACTTTGAGTTAAAAATTGTCTCATGGAATACATATGAATTTTTATCTTTCCAACCATTCAGGGACAATGAAAAAAATTAATCTCACTTACAATGTAAAAAAAAAGATTTCCTTTCATTTTCTGTGATCCTATATGTTATGTGTGCCAATTAATGTCATATTCCACCCCCCCCCCCAAATGAACCACCACCCTTGATAGACCGCCACCCTTGTTAAACCGCCAAAATCTTGCTGCACAGACGTTGGCGGTTTAATGGGGTTTGACTGTACCATATTTTCAGACTTTGAAGATTTTTCTCAAGGGGTTTTTTTTTCATTGAGCCATGACAGTGTTGAAACATTGAATCATAGGAATGTACAAACCCCATATACAATATAAGCACTTCATTACTTGTGATAAGTACATCATTGAAAGGCTGTACAGTCACTGTATGACCAGATGAATCATCTTTGAATATTTGGAAGTTCAATTACATTGGAAAAATTGTTAATGGTGTCCTTGTTACGTTGAAACTCTTCATACCTTGAAGGGTCAATGAACCCAAACTGAGTTACAGAGTCAACCCATCAAATAATCAATTCTTATGCTGTAGGTTGACAATCACTGATTCTGTGCTGCAAAATACAATTCCAAGCTATTTGTTATATCTTTCTTATTTTGGAGCCACAGCAAATGAATGGAGACAACATTAAGCGTGGCTTTTCTAAACAAGGCAAGTTAGTATATTCGACAATGAGACTCTTGAATATTTTCATAAGCTGTTGTATGTTTCCTTGTTGCTCGCTTATTGGCATTGCACTTGTCTCCTATTCTGAGGATTAGGAGATATATGAGAGGACCCTTGCTTTGAGGTTTAGAGGAAGGAAGGAGGATTTGTTCTTTGCTTAATGGCTTTAGGATAGTACATATGAGATTGTATTCCAAGTCCAACCCTCCCCACCCCTCTTTTTAGCATTTCCCCAGTGAAAGGAATCATTGATCCTCTGCAATAGTTCAATGAGGGATAAATGGGCTTCCATTACAGCCTCCATCCTTGATGGAGGAGTTACTTGTGAGTTGTGACCAGTGTGCTCATGTAGGGATCATTGGCCAGAAGTCTCACAGTGTCTCTTGCATTCTTGTTCTTGTGATACCCTCTGGGGTATCATTATTCAAAGAGCCAGAATCAGGTCAATTCCTTTGAATAAAGCGGTAATGTGCAATGCCTTAGTTTCATTATGCTAAAGTTGGCCTGCCATGATGATGAGCAAGAAAATGGTGGCTTGACGGCATTGGTGGTCAGCTCATCAAGCACAAAATTTTGGAAAATTATGCATGCAAACATGCAGGTTGTCTGTAGGGACCAGTTGTAAGTGTGGACTAGCCATTCCAGAACTTGCCATCAGTATATGGTACTTTTGGATAGAGTCTTTTGGTCACAGCCTCTTTTGAGCAGGTCAAGTCAGCAGGATTGTCCTTCCCACAGACAAGCTCCCACTGAGCCTTACTGGTGCACTCAAAAATTTCATCTCCCTGGTCTCTTATACATACTGCATTAGGCAAGGGCTGTCAGCTTTCCAACAGCCCAAACCAACTTCAGAATAACTCCAAAGGATTGCCTATAGTTCTTGATTGCTGGTGTTCACTTCAACTTCTGCCCATATTTTAAGGGGAACAAAGTTATTTTGTGGCCCAGTTGGCAAAAAAATGCCCTTGAGAACATCATTTGAGATTTGCAAAGTACCAGGGGAATGTGTGGACTTTGCAATGGTGGCACTACATCAGGGTTGACCAATTGTTGAATTGACGTATGAAAGAAACTAATGAATTACTGGATTCTGTATGTAATCCACATCTCATAATTGATGACACAGGAAATTCGAAAATCGGATGTGTCACTTTTTTCCAATTTGCGAGGCAGGAAAGTCGGATTTCCTCACTGAGATTTCCTTCCCCATTTCCTGTTTCTGTTTGCTTGTTCCCTCTTGTTCAGCACTCTCAAGATCTCTGGAACGCTGGAAAAAAAAATTCATTAATAATTCACACGGAAAAAATTATAGCTTTGTTCAATTTGGGATATGTCCATTGCGAAAATTATTCGCAGGCTGAAGGACGATTTTAATTTGATTTTTTATATTCTTGTCTTCAATGCCTAATCAATTTAAAAGTTGGCTAGGAAATTTTGGTTCTACAAGGTTGTATTCCCACCTGAAGATCGAAAAAAATCCAAATAGTATTCAAATAGAATCCCTATACTTGCTGTTATTGATATAGCACTTCTACAAAAAAAAAAGAACCCTCATGTGAACTTTGTACAGTACAGTAATGCAATTTCTGGATGTTTCAGCGGGTTACTCACAATTGAACGTTCTTATTCTTCTGCTGATGATACCGTCGCATGTGGCCCAGCCAGGCAGTCAGAATATTCATGCTCTGCTTTATTTTGTCATTTCCAACTTTGTTCTTGCCACTGCTGGGGCTCTTTGACATCGTCATGGCGTTCAATTGTTGCAGCACCACGTTGCTCAGGTCAGTGGCTAGAGGGGTGATGGTTTGATTCTTGAGGTTATCCAAGGCCAACTCCAACATGGGGGGCAAGAATGAGTCGAATTGATCCATGGTCATCAGTTTGCTGCCTCGCCAAATGGGCAAAAGCTGCGCAGCTGCTATCCACGGGATCGGATGACTTTCTGACACCAAATATCTGGAAGTAAAATGCAGAATTTCTGCACTTTGAACAACAAAGAAGAAATGCACCAGTCTCATCTGAGAATCACTTTATAGCCCTGGTTGAAATAATGAATGTTAGAAAAAAATGTAGTGTTAGGCTCATTTGGAAGCCGTTTTGACCCTGCAATGCAAACCTTTTGACAATTGACTTGAAACATCATTTATGGAAACGTTTGGGGAAAATCCAGATGAAACTCCAATTTCAACGAAAATTTTCATCTGAATATTTTTAGGAAGCGTGAATTGCAGGCTTTGAAAATTATTCTAAGGCAGTTATGATCCCAGCAACAAGTATTTGAAAAATGGGGGTTGCTTCGAGTATAACTTCTTAGCTTTTAGGGATTTTCCAAAAAATTGGGGTTGCTTTGAGCATATAGCCCCTTGGATTTTATGATTTTTCTTTTGAAAAAATGGGGGTAGCTTTGAGCATCACCTCTTGGATTTTAGGGTTATGTTCAAATCAACCCCCTATTTTTCAAAGATTTTTTTGCAGTGATCCTAACTGACTTAGAATAATTTTTGAAGCCAGCAATTCACACTTTACTAAAAATAGTGAGAAGAAAATTTTCTTTACAATTCAAGTTTCATCTGGATTTCCCCCAAAAATTTTCAAAAATGATGCTTCAAGTTTTCGGAAAGTATGCATTCCAGGCTTCCAAATGAGCCCACCCCTTATATTTTTTTCAACATGTATGGTTTCTGAAATAGCTATGCTCAAAGCAGACACATTTTCAAAAAAATTTTACTTTGAGCATAACCTTTTAGATGCAATGTTCAAAAATGTCTGCATTGATGATTCTCACCTGTGGATTTGTGTTTTAAACCTCTGGATCAAAATTTTGGCTGTGAGCATCTCCCCCCTCAGATGAAATTTTAACAAAATTGTGTATGGATGATTAAAACCTGTTGATTTGTGTTTTAAACCTGTTGATTTGTGTTTTAAACCTGTTGATTTGTGTTTTAAACCTGTTGATTTGTGTTTTAAACCTGTTGATTTGTATTTCAAACCTGTTGATTTGTGTTTAAAACCTCTGGATTAGAATTTTAATTGCAGGGGTTATGCTCATCAACATAAAATCCATTTTCAAGGAGTTTTTGCCGGGAGCATAACCCGATTGAAACAAATATTTCAAAACCTTCAATCTACCCTCTCCAAAATTTTTAATTAAAGCCTAATTTTGAAACTATCCTTTTTTAAAAAATCAAACTCCCCTTAGATGCAGCATTGTGATGAATTTCAACCTGTAAAAAAGTTAGTCATCAAAAAGTGGCACAGCATTCAGCTGTATTATTTTCAAATACATTTTTGGGATTGCTAATCAAATTGCTGGGACCTGGGAAAAATTTGTGGTTACAAATCATTTTTTGTGAAGAGAGGCTTTCAGAGCATGTAAGACTGAAATCTTGTGGAAAAAGGTAGAACATGCTTCCAAATATTGTACTTCCATCACACACATGTGAAGAATTGCCGAAATTTCCAATGTCTTTGATGATAGACGAGTAATACGACAGAAAATTAAAAATGTGAAAAACAATTCTCTTATTTCAGAATAGACTCTCCTACATTTTCCAAATATGCACCAGAAATACTCAAGCGTGAGCTGAAAGAAAAAAATGCATGTGAAAGGTTTACATTTTTCTTAAAAAACTGCTTGTTCCCTGGAAGAGAGCAGTATCCTTCCAAAAAACTTTTCTTACAAAAAACTAGCCAGTCTGCATTTTCATTCTATAGTAAAGGCACATACAGTGAATTCTGATTTGAGCTTCATACACTCTACAATGCTAAATAATCTGTACAAGAAGATTAGCATTTATATTTCTTGAAGTTTTTCTGAATCAGGCACCAGTTTGGTTTTATTCTCATATTATGGGAATTCATAAAAAATGCTATTGGCCACTCCATGAAAGTGAAAATTTGTTTGTGAGGCCCCAATATGTTGACATCCCAGAATTTGGACAATTCAACAGTAGGGACACTTGAAAACCAAAAAAATCAGGCCCCACACTCAAACATCGGCTTGAATTTTAGGGAAAATTTTCTGAAATTTCCCAAAAAAAATCTGAGCTTATCATTATTTTTCATTTTGATATCTTTTGAACAAATCAAGCTATAGTCATACAGTATACACAAAATTTAAAAAATATTTCATTAAAAATCCACTTTAATTCAGTCAAAAGTAAGCTGCCTTTGTGCTTCTTTTTCCAGTGTTCTTTTTTTTCAAATTATCCATGCATACTCTAGCAAGAAATGTTTGTTTTCTTTGCTTTTTGATCTCCTTATTTGATACCAAAATATCAGATTCAACGTGGTTTGGTTTGGCACTGTTACTTGTCACAATTTGAAGTTGAGGGAAACAAATTTCATTGATTTTCTTATGGACTTACTTCTAATCTTTGACGAAAAGGAGACCCAATTAAATACATTAGCATGGAAGTCTAAGGGAAAATGAGACATGACTTGGGAGCATTCCAGCATTGCAACACTCTTGACAGTCTTGACACACCAATTATGTCCACATCTTGGGGTCTCACTGTACTGAGATTTCAGAGGAAAACTTGTTCATTTTAACTTTTTTAAAATTTTATTGTAAGGGAGAAACTGCTAGAACCAAGGACACATTTGATGGAACAAAAAGTTTATTCAAACCAAATTGAATTTAAATTTTTTTTACTGCTAACATAATAAAACAACACTGCCAGTCAGTTTTTTTTTCTGAAACTTTCTCTGGAATATCATTTCATGGGAACAGTGTAGATTTGACTCATTCAAGTGATTCCTGCAATGGATGCCCAAAAATGCTTCCATTCTATCCCCAGTAAAATGATCTCCAATTCTACATCATAAAGTTGGTCCCTTCACATAAAGAATTATTTTACATCACCAGTGGGGGTTATACACTAAATAAATGACTCACCGGTCAATAAGTTCACTACTGCTGTTCCTTTCAATCGAAAATGCCAAACTATACTGTATTTCACTGTAATGCAAAGTACACTTACGCTGGAACCATTGCACAAACTTGGCTGTCAGCAATGTCCACTGCACACAAGATGGTCAAGTCGGACAATATCTGGGCTCTGTTGATTGGATCAATCACTGATGGATCAGAAATCAGTTGGCCAAGCTGTGAAAGCATAGGAAGCAGATTTATTCTTCAAGCATGAAAAATAAGGTTCTGCTCTTCAAGCAATTTTAGATTAACAAAAGCTTGATGAAACCAAACACAAGCTGATGAAAAGCATATCCCAGCTGGAAAGGCTGTCATCTTGCATTCAGTGACAAAATAAAGATTGAGAAATGAGTTGGGCAGGACTCAGCATTCAGATTTACAAAAGCTTGATGAAACCAAACACAAGCTGATGAAAAGCATATCCCAGCTGGAAAGGCTGTCATCTTGCATTCAGTGACAAAATAAAGATTGAGAAATGAGTTGGACAGGACTCAGCATTCAGATTTATGCAGATGCCATGTGATGAACTCCATTGATGAACTGTGTTAGGCTGTTTGTGGATTGGAAGTGCAAACCTAATCTAACGTTCATCAGGCGCAGCTAAAAAAAAAAGCAAAGGACTTTGGGAATACAGCATGGTTTGTGAAATGACAAAATAAAACAGAATATGTGAAAGGTCTATTGGTATTCAGTGTGTCCTTGTTTGAAAAAAGAAAAGAAAAACAGGACAAACTGTTTCCTGAAAAAAATAATGACTTTATGGACTCATTGTAAGACTTGACATATTTGCATGATCACATAGTGGGTGTTCCTTCAGTCCCATGAAAAATGCAAAAGACCAAAAGACATTGCAAATATGTAACCCATCTCCAGATCTCGCATTTGGAAGATGAACTTTGTAACTCAGGCAGAATACAAATTTATTCTTCCCCCCTCCCCCCAAATGAGAGCACAAATTGTTCATGTAGCTCACTGATAGCTCCAACTCAATGATATAAAAATTGAAATACCTGTGAAAAGTGAAATACCTTTATTGATTTCTGTGCACTGGAGCAGTATACAGCACTAAATTCTGCAAGAATATCTCAGTTGCTTGGATATTTCCATATTCTTCAATACGAATTTTCAAAATGCGGCAATAATCTGATTCCTCAGTTTTGTTGGGCTGTCTGTTGACAAGATTATTTGCCTGTGCATCTGTAAGAAGAAAAACTACCTTCTCCCAGACCTTGGCTGCATTGCTAAATTTCCTTTATTGATTTCTGTGCACTGGAGCAGTATACAGTATAGCACTAAATTCTGCAAGAATATCTCAGCTCCCTCAGAAAAAGGAGCAACATACTAGAAAAAGGAGCTCACCAATCGAATCCAGTTGACAGTGTCATAATTGACAATGTAGTAGCCTTCTCGCTTGGAGTTTGCCAGGAGCCAGGCCTCAGAATTGTTGGTCCCTGCCCCAAGGAACAGGTCCACTTGAACCTCGCCCTGGTCCAGGAACAAGGTACTGACTTGCGTCTCAACACCTCGGCCTCCCAGCTGGAAACTCACAAAGATGGGCCACTTTTCGTCCAAGTCGTGGTCATTGTTCACTACGCTCATGAACCGTTTCTATGAATATGAATAAAGGAAGAATGAATAACAGACTCTCAGCAGTTGAACCTGTTTTATCCAGATTCAAGTGAGCAAAATAAAGTATCCATATCCTGTCATGCCCATGAGTTGAAATTATCTAATGACTAATTGAACTGGGTTTTTTTTATCCTGATAGCACATCAGATGAATTTTCACCTGCTGAACTAAATTATTATGGGTTTTTGTTGTGACAAAGCTTTTTTGAAGCCCAGCTTTCTAATTTTTTGAAGACATTCAACTTTATCTGTCTGCCTGTTGGTTCAGCAATTAATTTTCGCAATGACGACAAAAATTAGGAAACCATGACAGGTAATGTAATAAAAAATTTCTGTTGATCTGCAAAATATTTCTGGAATTTTGCCTGCCTGCAAAAAATTGTTAGGAAATTTGCCAGTCTGTGGAATCAAAAAGGTTTGGGAACATACTGTCTTAATTGGATGATGTTTATTAGTCCTCTCACCCTTCATTTCCATGTGTCCTGAAACTGGTAAGAAATACTATTTGTTGTTGTTATGTTCATGCACTTTCACATACTTGAATTGCTGCATGATGCATTGGTCATTTCCTCTCTTTACAGGTCTCTACACCTTTTGAACATCTTGGTTCACTCTGATTGCAGGCGGATGCTTCATTTGATGCCGCAAACACTTCCAAACTTATGTAAAGAGTGTGCAGACACTCTTTGGTGACTCTCAATGTTGGCCTGGTTCTATGTTTAGAAGTGCAGTGTAGGAAATCTCTTTGCCTTTAACTTGGCTTGGAAGCAGTCCATTTTTTTTATAAAGCCTCAGTGATTCAACCGATTTAACCTTGGGATCACAAGCTGAGATTCATTTTGAGAATATTTAATTTTGAGTTAGAACTTAGAAGCCATTCGAAGAAATTCTTCCTGAATATACTCTGCTGGTAGTCTGCGCAATAATAAACCTATGATTTCAAAAAGCAGTTGCTTATAAAAACACTGAAATTATTGTGCTTCCATAATTAACAGATCACCTATTTTTAAAATGTGATCTTTAATTCTAGAAAATTAAGAACTCTAGGAGACAACTACTTTACTTGAAATGAAACCCAAAAGAAAAGAACAAAAAATCGGAGAATAAAAAACATCATGGTCCCTTTTCAGTGAAATTCCCAAAGAATTGCTTTTTCCATGCTCAAAAAAACTCAAGTTGAAACCAGAACTGTTCTGACTATATACTCAATGACACGTCACTTACTTGCGAGAAAACTGCGTAATTTGTTTGGTAATCCCTGGTGATGGTCACAATGGGAACACCTGTATAGGAACAATATGAGGAAAAAAGTTTATGACTTATTGTCAAACATATTTCGATTTGTGGGTTCATTTTCAAAGTAGGAAAGGTCCCTCAGGACGATCCGAGATGCACAAAGAATTGCAGTTTATTGGTGTTTTTCAGAAATAATCCAACATCCATGAGAATAAAAAAACTCTTGAATTTTGGTTCTATGTAAATTGTTCATAAATTTAGAATTCAAAAAAGGCTCATTTCCTCTGGCAAAAAATGTCCAATGATTTTGAATGAAATGTGCACAATAAGAATTCCCTTTTTGCATATTCACCATGTTTCCGGAGAGCAACAATATTCTGATCATCACTCATATGCACATAAAATTTAGTTGTAATTGCTGCAAGACATTTTCTGATACAGGTAAACCTCTCAAAGTCGATTTTTGAGAGACCAGCAAAAAATTCAGGTTAGGGAAACAGGCGTTTTTGTTGGGGACAAAGAAACAATACTGTAATTGCAGAAAATTAAAATGAAAATATTCTGGACCTTAAATTGTCTCTTGAATGAGTTGACAGGAGAGGCTGAACTTGTATAGGCAAGGGTTCATTTGCCCAATTAATCTTTAACTTCCCTTCAAAACACATCAAGTTACATTTTCATTGCATTTTGCTAGGCTGCAATGCCAATAAAAAAACCAGAAGGTCTTCAGGAAATGCGAGTCATATAAGTTGGAGGAGGAAAGCGTTAGGAGGAAAGAATATTTTTCCAAAATTTCCTTTTCAAGAAAATTGGAAGGAATTAATTATCGAAATGAACGAAACCTGGCTGATTTGTCCAGGGGTGCATGATGCCCGCGATGGAGCCGAACCCGGGTAGGGTTCCGTCGGCCACGGCAGCAGCTTCCATGGCATCCCACAGATAGGACTCAATCACGTTCCCACCACCATGGGTTTCCAGGTACCTCCTCATGCCATTGCGGAAGGTGGTGTGAGTCAGCAGGTTGGCCAACATCCTTGTCACACATGCCCCTGTTTATTCAGAAAATACAAGGGAATTGAAAAATTAATTATTTTTTCTTCTTATTAAGGGGCCATTAAAAAGTGGTTATCATTTCATGCAAGTGTACAGTTTGTCACCTGAAAGCCTCTATACTGTCATGAAGAACAAGTCTCAAGTTCAGGTGAATATTTTGTCTAGAACATAATTAAATGGTCTTGTTTGGGATTGAAGATCAAAGATTTCACTGGTTCATGCCATTTTAAGACAACCATACAGTGTACTTGTGCTTGGCATTTCACCTTTTGAGAGTTCTGGTTACCTGTCATTGTCTGGAGCTGGTCATTATTCAATGTCTGCTTGCCTGAATCTATAAAAGGATGCTCAAACAACCTTACCGCACGTATTTCTCTTTTTTTGCGTTTGCCTCTACAAGTTTCTAAAAATACAAATACTTTGTTTTTACAGAGGATGCTGTAACTTATTCAATTCATCCTGGCTATAAGATATGAAATATCCTGCTAAAAAAGGTTAACTTATTTCGGCTTGAGAAAATTTGAAATTCATATATAGAGACATTTGTGAAATTTTCTCCATTTTCCTCCCAAGCAGACTTGTAGAATAACTTTCTCTTCAAATCCTGCATGACAGTACTGAATTTGCATTCCCCTGGTCAGGGGATGTCACTGTTGTTTGAAGGAATTTTACAAAAAAAAAATATTGGTGTTATCAGTTCAATAAACAAGAATCTCACATACATAGGCAATCAACTGAACTGATTCCAGACAGACGTTTGTCAACTGAAAAGTTAATTAATGCAATTTGATTTTCCCATAAAAATGCAAGACCAACCACAATAATCGAAATAATTTTTTTTGGGTCTTGTATGTGCCCAGAATTTCTTATAGTGTGCTGTTGAAGTAGGAGTCAGTAGGACTGAATGAAACCAAAGATTTAAAAAGCTTAACCTGAAGGATGCTTATCCAATGAAAATGCAAATTCTTATTTTCAATGCAACAGTTGAAGGTAAAATAAACCTTTCCAACAATTCAACCAATAGAAAAAGCAAGAAAAAAGGAAATGATTCTGTCACAGAAACGCATATGAATAATACAGCTGAATCACATTCTACAACAAAAGAGTACATGCATAAAAGTGCAAAAGAGGATGAAATTTTTAAATCAGTGTACTGTATAGGAGTGTGCATGATTTTAACTCAGATAATCAGATTGTACCATACATTTCAGCCACAAAATCAAGCTTTGAATTCCTTTCAAGGATTTTTCTCCAGGAAAAATGTAACCAAATTTTGGTTTATATTTTCAATTGTATTTGTATATATTCTGGAAACCAAAACTTCTCAACTCAGTTGTTTATTTTCAACCAAGTGGTTTGATGACCAAGTGTTCACTGTGGCCATGTTCATGTGATGTGTCTAACTTGAAAAAGTTTGATAGCTGAAAAAGATAACACAAAATGTTTTTCTCAAATACCAATGAGTCTTGATTTCTTGATCAATAAGAACACACATGATAAAATTTGACCACATATGCCTAATCTGCTCCTTATCATTTCACAAACCATCGACAGAATCCTGAAGTTCTTCAAGGCTCCTGCCCTTTTATAGTCCAAAAGAGTCCACAAATAATTCAATTTAAATTTTTCTAAATTTACGTAATAATTACTGTACTGTGTAGTGAAAGAACTTGGACCTTGCCTTCACATTGTCTTTATGTCACATAACGTTTTTCATTCGACTTAAAAATGGGAATGCTGTATATTCAATTGGTTCACTTGTTGAAGAAAAAATGGAGAAAAATTCAAACAAAATAATTTTCTCAATTTTAAGATGTAGAAAAAACCTGTCCAGAAGAAAATCACACATAATTTGATCTTTTGGCATCAAAAGGGGCTAAAACAACAAATAACAAACACAAGTAGTTTTATACTGTCCAAAAATGATGAGAAGAACTTTGAAAAAAGAAAACAAAGTCATTTTTGAAATATGCATTACAGAGTGTATTCAAAGTAAAACTGATGGAACATTTTTGAAAGTATAAAAGCTAATTTAAAAAAAAGAGATTTTGGAAAATACAACTACAATTATCGGTAAAGTGCTTGTATCTGGAAACACTGTGGAATTTCGGACAGATTTTTTGAGTTATCAAGCGTCCCTAAGAGAATTCGTTTGACTGTCGGGCATCTAATTCTCTTGAATGCTGTTAAAGAGTGAGAAGGAAACAAGGGGTTTCACCTTTTTCATAAATCCTGGTGAATTGGAAAACGTCGTCGAAATCTGCAGGGACTTCAACAGGGACAACCAGGGCCAGATTTTTGCCCTGAGGGTCAGCATCCATGGCAATGGCCCTATTCATCACCATGATGGCCAACACAGATTCCCAATCCGATTCCGGATCTATCTGCTCAAAAAAATTTAATCATGTCATACAAAATAAAAGAAAATAGTGTACAATGTAATACAGTAATAATATTCTTGTCACAACAAACTTTTTCTGTAGGCTCCTCATTCCTCGAAGTACTCTCTGTGAATCGTAGTATAATGCAAAAACTTTAACTATACAATGAAATCTCGTTATGAAGGATACTCCATCACAAGGAATTATTATTTTTTCAATCTCTGTCCAATATTAGCTGCAATGTTATTTGAGTTTGGTCATTATAACGAATTTGTGTGTGTTATGAACTCATGATGAAGCCATAATTAACTTGTCCCAATGATTTCGTTGTAATGATCTTTTACTGTAATACTATACGTTTCTCGGGAGATTCAAACTCTGCACAGAAGGTTTCCAACGTACAAAAAGAAAATTTGACTTTGAGATACTTGATGAATAAGTGAAAATAGAGGAGTATTCCACTTGGATCTAGGACAAATTGAGGCAGACAAGTTGAGACAGAGACAATTTGTGACAAGAACTTTTGGAGACAGGGACAATTTGAGACAGATAAATTTAAAGACAGAGAACATTTTGAGGCATTTTGAGACAAGGACTATTTGAGACAGAAGCATTTCATTGCTTCCATTCCTCTCTATATACATTGTAATACACACAAAAAAACCTCAGAACATCCTTCTTGATTTTGTAGTAATGTGGTTCGACTACCATGCAGTTGCTCCATCATTAGAAAAGCACTAGACGTGCACTCTCTCTCTCTCTCTCTCTCTCTCTCTCTCTCTCTCTCTCCAATTAGCAAATGAATGGAAAGGGTCCATTAGCAACAGAGTCAGCCCAAAAATGCACTCATTTCTATCTCCATATGTTGCGACAGTTTGAGTTCCTCAAAAAGAGACTCAGAACTGCCCACTTGGGCTTTGCTACAAGACTATCATTGCATTATGCACTGTATTGAAACCTTTGTTTGAACAAACTAAGTGTTGAAACCACTACTCAAAGTGTTTTCCTGAACTACCATAAAATGCAGAATATGGTAAAACCTTTGAGTAAAAACAGCTTTGCTTCATTAAAGGTTGGAAGGAATACTATATAAGTAGATTTTCTTTGTACTATTTGAAGGTTTATTGTATTTCTATTAAAAACCCATTCAAGATAAAAAATTTTATTATTATTGGCAGAGGTTAACTGTACCAAATGAATTCTTTCATGGTCAAGAAAAATTCTACAAATTTCTATGCATAACATCTTGTATGGAAAAAAAATGCACAGCACACAATTATAATAATGCTATATTTCTGACAGAGCATATTTCAAATCTTTAGCTTCTTAAAAGAACATTCAATTAATCAAGATTCACAAAGAATCTCATTGGGAAAAGCAGAAAATCAAATGTAAGAAGAAAAACATTGTGTGTGCAGAATTACTTTGGGACTGCCTGAAGTTTTCCCTGTCTCACAGTGTCCTGTTTCTAAATGTCCATGTCTCCAATTGCCCCAGTCTCCAAAAGTTTCTGTCTCAAACTTTCCCTGTCTCAATTTCTCCAGTCTGAAATTGTCTGTCTGAATTCGTCCATATCCCTTTCCATTTTTTTGGTAGTTTCTAGTTTTCCAGGTTCATCTGCTGTACTGTAACTTTTTTTTCCCCCATTCACCACGTATATATGTACATGCAAAAGGTGGAAAGACAAATAAAGAAACCCACCGTTTGTCCAGAGTAGTAGGTGAGGTACTCCGTGATGCCTTCGTTGAGCCAAATGGTGTCCCACCAGTTGGTCGTTACCAGGTTTCCGGTCCACTGGTGCCCGATTTCATGGGCCACGTACAGCAGAATCTCGGCCTTCAGCTCAGCTGCATTTGGGTCATTGGGGTCTACCAACAACACATTTTCGCTGTTTCATGCCCAAAATTCCCCAAAATGAATGAAAAACACAATGACAAAAGTCAATTTTCATTCGCATTCAAACTCAAGTAGAAAAGTAAAAGTGGTCAGTATATTTCAGCAAAAATATTTCAGACGAAATTAGACTGATGAGGTCTGTCCCACTTGGGCGCGACCTTAGACGAGGTATATGCTGATGATGACTGCTGTGGAGGAAAAAAAATGGTAAAGAGGGATCTTGGTTTGCCAACTTATCCATTTCTGAGCAGAGGTTTCTTATTAGCCCATTTAGTACAAATAGTTTGCTTCCCAAATCATTTTCAATTGGCTCTAAAAACATGGAAAATGCACATGAAAATCAAGAAAATTTGTATTCATAAATGTTTACTGGGCCTCAATTTCATAAAAATTTCTTCATACAGTATACAATGTAGAGTATAGAGAAACCCTTTGAAGGATAATTGGACTTCATATGTTCAATTTTAAAAGATTCGAGAGTTTCCCACTCTTGGGCATGTAGAAAAATTCTCACATATAAAAAAATACTAAAAACCTTCTACAGAGTGTGCTTCTTTGTGGAAAGGCTTTCAATCATAAGCTGATGGAAAGAAACTGCTACAGAATTTCAAAATAAAAAATTGGACTAGGTTTTTACCTTAACATTTTATTGGGTGAAATTTTCTCACATAAAATTTCTTTAAATGATCAGAAGTTTCAAGTTGAAAGCTTCTTCCTAACTGTATACACCAGGATTCCAGAGTGAAACTGTATCGATCCATGCATAATTTCTTTCACATATGAACCTATTCACATATGAATCAACCACATTTTTTAAACCAAAACAGGGGTTGTCAGCCAATAAAGGCGGCTGTGGCACAAACCCTGTTATGGTTTAGAAGATGTGTGTAATCTAGAGGGTTTAATAACCAAGATCCCACTACACATAGGCCATAAGTTGTGACATGGTGGAGAATTCTGCCAATAACTGCGAACTTTCCACTTCTCATCATGCAGTAAATTGACAAAAACCTTTCAAAAATCCCAAAGAATTCCGAATACGAATTACAAACCGTTTTTCGAAGTGGGCATAATAAAATAATAATGACAACCACGCCTTTCAATGAAATCACCTTTCAAAAATAAAATAGTATAAAAATGAAACAGATTTAAGAAAAATAACCGAAACTCACTCGTAGGTGATGAGACCATAGTTCTCCATGGCCCCGCCAAAGTTCTCAATGGCGATGTGACCCAACTTGGGCAGGGCAAAGGGGATTTCGTAGTAGGCCTCGAAGAAGTTGACACTGTTCACCACCAGGTCGAGTGCAAACGATGCCTGGGCCCGTTTCCCGGGTCTGAAATGCAATTCGTGCCTAGGATCTCGTTCCGACTGCGCTGTTTCGTACTCGCCCACGGCCACGATGGCCAAATAGTTGGACATGATGGGGGTTCGCTCGTATTTGTCCAGCATGTACAACGGATGGACTTCTGGGCTGTTTAACATTTTTTTTTCCAAAAGAGCGAAACTGAAATAAACCGTCTATCCTTGTCATGGTGGGGTATATATATACAGTAATATCTCCTAAAAAAATTTAAGTATATAGGAAAATCTTTTCAAAGTCTCAGCAGAAATCCTGCAAGGTGAATGTTATAAAAATCTCATTACAAAAAACTCTCCAATTCCAGTATAAAAAACTTTTCTACAGGACGTTATGTGATTTTTCTAATGAAAAATCTCAACATGCAAGACATCAGGCACAGTCTCAATTTTCCCATTCAAAATGTGACTGTGACTGCGGGATCTTGGTTAAAAAAATGGAAGGTGTAATCAAGGTCAATAATTCAACAGAATTTACCTGAACATCCTCATCTTCAAAAATTGTTTCCAGGTTTGGAAAGATGAGGAATGGAGTGGATCAAAAAATGAACATTTCAAAACTCATGTTGAAACGGGCTTTGTATGCTTCAGAATCCCTACTTGTAATGCTCAAAGTCTTCAAGCTGTTTTGGAACATTTACCCTTTCAAGTCTGTGCAGGAATTGCTAAGAAAAAGTTCAAGTCCAGAAAAAGTGCAACAGGTCACGACAATATGAGTCTCATTTACAAATAGTTGTAAACTTAAAACAATACTTCTAGTGAAAATAAACTTGTGACTCTTTATAGGTTTTTTCTAGTGGTTTCCTTCTACAACTCATGAAGTATAGTTCAATTATTTTTTGAATCTTCCGTCTGGTGATTAATGTTGAAAATGCTGTCAGTAAAAATCATTTGTTTAGCAAAATTTTTCTGAAGTTCACACAAGTTTTTGTAACAAGATTCAGTGTATTCAAAAAACAGTGTTCCCCAACCTTTTCTGGTCCATGGACTCGCAAATTTTGCATTAAATTTTTGGAACACTGGGAAACTTCCAAAAAGCCATGTCTGTGGACTGGAAAAGTTGCATAAGATGTTAACAGATTGACTCAAGAAGTTGTTTGAAAGGCTTTTTTAAGCAACAGGCCGTTATTTGAAACAGCTCTGTCTATTTTCGATGAAGTGAAAAACCAAAAAGCAATTTTATAGTGGAATTTGTTTGAAAAAATTAGAAAGGTGGGCTTGAAGAAAGATTTCTCAGAATGAAAAAGTTAAAATCCTTTATTTCAGAGAGTGGAAATTTTTCTGAAGCATTATGAGGATAAAAGCCAATATCTTTTCCATCAAATAATTTCAACTGCCATTGTCTTTGCCAAATTTCAGATAAAGATAACAGACTTGATTGCTACTTGTGATATATTTATTATGGTGGAAAAAACTTCCAGCAAACCTGCAAAAAAAAATTTCTTTGGATCAGCAATCAGGGCATGGGGAAGTGGCGACTTCATTTATTTTGTCTCAACTTGGAGAGAGTAACTTTAAAGTTCTTTCGTCGTCCTTTTTTACAGGTCACTCCCTTACTCGTAAAAACCAACTCCCTTTTTCCTTCTTAATGTCTTTTACGTAATTGCTAATATTCTAGGCATTATATTGCTCATGAAAATGAGTTGACATGATGTTAAAATTTGAGGCAAGAGTTCATTTGTCCATTGAGTCCCTCACTCCCTCTCAAAAAACATCGTTATTTGTTTCATTGCTTTACCCTTACCTGTGTCAATAGAATAATGGCCTATAAAGGTCTCCTGAAAATTCTAGTTTTGGAGGTTTGAGGAGGGAAGCCTTTGAGTCATATAGAGATTTCTATTGCGTTGTTTCCATGGGAATTCAGACAGGAACTAGAAAAAATTCAACATAGGTATGCCGGAGTTATCCAAGTTTAATTTTACACTAACTCTGATCAGATACGTTTGATTCAGGTAGTAAATTCGAGAGACAGTATTTTTCATCGAAAAATCTGCTTAAAAAAATCAGGACTCGTTTGAAATTAGTTAGATTTTAATATAAGAAGGTACGCTTGGTTCACAATACTGTAATCGCATAAAAAGAGCAATCGATTTTTACTCCCAATTGACTGTGAAGTACGTTACGTCTTAAACTTACAATGAGTTTTTTCCTGAATTGTACAGTTCATCCCGACCAAAAAATCGTTTGAATAAAAATGAGTTTCGATTCGACAATAAATCTTCGCAAAAAGTTCTACAGTTCAATTATAATTAGGGAGATTAGATTTTTGGAAGTGCGAGAAAATATTGAGCTCAAAAATGTGGAACAGACGGAGTTCTCCCATTTTCATAAAATCAACAATCCTGCCAATTTACCTCACTAGCTTCTCAAAATTTTTCGAGATTTTGCTCTGAATAACTCGGCATTTTGAAATCACGTTATCGAGGTTACCGAGCATGAAGTACGCCGTATAACGAAATTTTGATGTAAAAAGAAAAAGCACAGAAGTATACTCTGACATATTTCCATAGTGAAAATCTGGATTCATTCCAAGTCTGAACAGCCTTACAGCGAACATTTGCTGTGTACTGTTTTACAATATTTTGTCCCAACCCTCATCGAATTTTTCGTTTCGAAAAAAATGATACACACGGAAAAAAAACTTTGAAACT